CCCAACCACTGAGAAGGCCTGGAGAACAGGTCTCACTCTTTCATCTCCTGAGGCTGGGTCTATGGGTTAGCATAGCCCAAAGATGGAACTTGGTGCACAGAGCATGAAGGGGTGGTTTGAGAGCCATCCTGGTAGAGGATCATCAAGACTTGCAGCCTGGCTGGCCCTACAAAGTGAAGGAGAGGGGACATCAAAGATGGAAGGAAGGGGTACACACAGCATCCAGGGATTGCTTCCAGCAGAACAACAGTGCCCTCTCCTGTTCAGCCTCAAGCAGCGCTGCAGTCAACCTTCCTCCCCACTTCCTGCACTCCATAACCTTCCTCGTTCATGCACTCCATAACCTTCCTCGTTCATGCACTCCATAACCCAAGTGTAAACCTGCTCCTCATGCCAGGCCAGAATGGAGGCCTCCTGGTGACCCCACTGGCTGTCAGCCAGCCCTGCAACAACTGAACTTGCCCAGCCTTGCATCTCCCTCCTGGGCCTGGAGTCATTGAACCACAGTACACACAATTGTCTTGCAGGATGACTCCCTGCAACCATCCTCAGACTTTGCAACAGCTGTTGCCTCACCTGACTGTGGAGGAGGTGTCGTAGTTGCTAGGCAACCAAAGGCAACCTGTGGGGAAAAGGGCTTGGGATGGGCTAAGACCTGGCCTACTCAGTATATCTCTGTGACCTTGCAAAGCCAGACCCACAGCCACAGCACTGCACAGATGTCTGCACAATGACTATTCTGGAAAAAACCTGGGACAGTAAATGTGGGGTGGAAGAGACCACCACACCAGGAAGACTCATCCACATCTGTGTGCCCACAGGAAGTGCTACAAAGTGCAGGAACAGATGGGATCACTGTGGCGTACCTAGGCAGTGGAAGTGGTCAGGGAGGGCTTCCCAGTAAAGTTCTGCTCCTGTCTATTGCATGCCCCCTTCATGTCAGGCACAATAGCCAATAATTCATCCTTTCTCCAGCGACCCTGAGAAAAGGGAAGCTTGGACCTTCTCAGAGCAGAAGAAAACAGAGTTCCAGAAGTGAGGATGAACCCAAGGCCATTTAACAAGTCTGTTTGGGCCTGGGGGAAAGGGAGTGAGCAAAGGTCAGAAAATAGGACATGCAAGATGCCCTGGGACAGCGAGTGGCCAGCATGGTCCCAACACCACAGGTTGAGTATCTAAAGATGGCAAAGACCTGAGAAAAGAAAACCAGTATCAAAAAGAGAAATACAGACGAGCTTCTGGGGAGCTCTCGGGGGGCAGAAGTACCTTTACCTAGCATCCTTAAAAAGCTTCACCTTCAGATGAGGCATGGCACACAGATGGCAAGACCTGCATACATAGTGACCTGATGGGAGGAAAGCACAGAATGTGTGTCAGAGGGGAAAGAGGTTCGTTCTAATGCTATGCTAGGTTTCAGCACTGTGCCAGATTTGCACAGAGATTGAGAAGAATCAGATATTTCAAGAGAAGACTCTTGAAAGTAATGATCAGCTTAGCCATGGTTGAGAGTTTGGCCTGGAATCAGTGCAATTCCATGGAGGTCCTGGAGGGCAGGGAAGATTAAAAAAAAATCTAAGACTCTTAGGGGAATCTTTAGGGAGCCTCACATCAGCAAGCAGGGCAGGGCAACCCCAAACATCCTCAGCTCTGCAGTTCAACCCTCCCTGGGGGGACTAAACCCATCCAGATGGTCCGTCTACTTCTACGGGGCCAGAGTAAAGGGGAGAAGACAAACCAGGCTGTGGGTTCAAGGACAGAACCAACTCAAATCTTGGTTACCACGAAGTAGTAGCTGCAAAGAAATAATGGGATCTCTCCTGAGGAGCAGCTATTTCCCAGTGCAGGGAACTTCTCTCCCATCACCAGACCCAACAGCAAGCTGAGGGAAGCCAGCCAGACATAGCCAGGGGCTGCCTTAACATGGTGCACATTTCTGAGAGATGGTGACACCCCAACTGCCCACTCTGCAGGGGAGCAGCCCTGCTCTAGGGGCCATGATTGGCCCAAGGCACTGGACTGCATATACTCTTTCTAAACTGTTGGCTGAGTCCTTGCAGCAAGACCAAGCATGGAGGTGGGCATGGTGGTAAGGTGTGGCAAGGGCTCACACCTGGGCCATACATCATCCAAAGCACCTCCCCATCATGTCCTTTGGAGCTGACCAAAATCTTGAAGAATCATTGGCAAACCATGCATGTTATTTCCTTTTTTTGTTGATGTTGTTTGCTTGTTTGCCTCTTTCCTTTGCAGATTTATTAAGATAATGAGATGCACACTAGATTTAAAGTGCAGTTTGACATGTGTATACATCTGTGAAACCATCATCACAATCAAGATAAGAAGAACAAAGTCACCCTTCCAAGAGTTCACTCCAGCTGCTTTGTAATCCTGCTCTTTCCTCCCCACCCCCATTCCCAAGCAATTGCTGATCTGCTTTCTGTCCCTCTAGATTTTCATTTTCTAGAGTTTTGTATCAGTGAAATTATTCTTTATGTGTCACTTATTCTAATCTGGCTTCTGCAACTCAGCCTATTTTCTCATTACAGATGACAACACAGGCAGGATGAGGTCATGCAGGCAATCAGTGATCCTATAGCAGTTTGGGAAAGTCAGGTGTCCTGGCTTTGAACCCAGCATGTTTCTGCCACACTTACTCATTCATCACTCAATCCTTCATTCACCAGAGATTAATTGAGCTGTTGGGTGGGTTAAGCCCTGTGGAATCAGTGGCAGACAACATAGACATGGTTCTTGCCCTCTTCCCTACATTCATTCACCTGCTTAACAAATAGGGTATATCAAATAATCGCTCTATGTCCACAGAGTATACTGTTTGAACTTGGCACTGTCCCACCATCCTGATCCCCAGGTGCTACTGTCCTATTTGCCACTTTATGCTGGGCTTTGGAGTGATGTAGGTAGGAATTGGAGGTGAATCCTGTCCCCTAAGACCACATAAGGCAGTAGGAAAACCCTGTAAGGCACTGTCCTACACCCTGAACACTTGCAAGAGAGCTTAGGAGGTCAGGCTGACCCCAGGGACACTGGTACACCAAGCTGAGTTCAAAAAAGTCAGAGCATGCAATTCTTCACATGTCATGTGTTTTCTGCCCATGAGTGTGTTATACTGAGTTTATGTGTGTAGTGCAGGGGAGGAGAGTGTGGAGGGTAATTCCTTGCATTTTAGAATAATTTACCACTTAACACTTATGCATTCACTCTTATACCTCATTTAGTTCTCAGTGTGATCTTTGAGATGGAAATTACCATTATTTTATCCATTTCACAGATCAGAAAACTAAGGGTCATAAAAATCCAGTCATTTGCTCAAAAACATGCAACCCATAAGTGGTGGAGCAAAGCCTTAAGCCATGTCCCTTGTCCTCAGAACTGGTTCTCTTCTCCCTGTGTCTATAATGATCCACATTTACTAATTTTAAACAGGGAACATGGAGTCACCCGCACAGCTGAAGCTGCAGAGTACCATGTGCAAGCAGAATCTGAGCTGGCTCTGTTGTCAGAACTCCTAACCACGGCTCCACGTGTCTTCCAGCCACCTTACCACTCACCAAGCATCCCATGGAGGGCCAGCATCTCACATGCTCAGTAGAGAGTGCGTCCTTCCCCAGTCCACATCAGGAAGTTGCAGCTCAGTGAAAGTAGGCAGTTTGCAAAAGCCATACACATCTAGGAGGCAAAAAGGTGCTCAGTCAGCCCTGGCTGAGCAAACTGGCCTGGACTAAAAAGAGAAGGTGTGGGACCCAAGGAGCACTGAGTTCCCATGATTCTGTGGCACTGGTCTGCTGATCCTAACCAGGCCTGGGCTTCCTCACGGGAGCCCCGTGGTATAGTGGGAAAGGCTCTGGGCCTGGACATTGAAAAAGGTCAGGGCTTTGGAGCACTAGCTGTGCGGTCTGGGAAGGTCACTTGGCCCCTGTGACTCTAGAAAGATATCTTCTAACCTCATTATTGTCACCCAGTGAGATAAGGGCATGTGGACTCATTTTGAAGAGACTGTAACACTATACACTGCAGGACACTCCTGTCACCTATAAATGAAACCACTATAGGGCCACGACCATGAGCAGTACAAATTTCACCTGAGGGTAAGTCTCTGACCTCTCTCTCACCCTCACTCCAGCCTGGCTTCATCATTCTTCATGGACCTAAAGAAGGAATGTTTATGCAGATCCAAGCTATTGGGCTGTTTTCCTAACCTCACCCTCAACATACACACATGCACACACACACACAATTATTTACTTGCTTCCCACCACCGAAACTGATTCATTCCCATAAACACCTTGTACTCAAGCCAAAAGATCCGGATGGCTGATGCCTTTAAAATTCTTATGATGTGGAAAAGTTGAAAAAAACAACAATAGCTATAATGTAATCAGCTCTGTACCAAGTTTTCCACATATGTATTGTGTTTACTGTACCCTCAAAGCCACCTTTTCAGATGTGAGGGACCCAAGGCAGAAACAGCCTATTACTGTAGAGGGCCGTAGAAGGGTCACCTCCATCTTCTTGCACCTCCTTCTGAAAAGAATCCCAAATGGGTTCATTAATCCATTCCCAATCCTCACCATTTGGTCCAAGAGGCAAAGGTGATGAGAAATGATAGACTTCTAGATGATGTACTTTGAAGATGTAATCAAAAGGATGTATGAGAGATTCTTATGAATATGAAAGAAAGGAGTTAAGGATGAGAATGAGTGTGGGAAAGTTCTGGGTAGACGGAAGGACTTCATACAAATACAAAATTATACTTTTTATTATCATACAAGTTGGGCTGGGGGTATGGCTGAAGTTGTAGAACCCTTGCTAGCAAACATGAGGCCCTGAGTTCAAACCCCAATAACACCAAAAACCTAATAATAATCAAAATCTAGCTATATTCTACCCTGACTCCCATATAATGACTTTCTTCTGCTCCACAGTTCACAGCAGGCAGCAAAGACTGAAGGTCTTCATGCTACTTTCCTGACCCCTCTAGAATGGATGTGTGTGGCTGGAAAGAAATGGAGGTTGCTCTGGTCAACTTTGATAACTCAGATGAAATCCAGGAAGAGCCAGGTTATACTGCAGACTTCGACCCAACCAGCCCAAAAGGCCGGCCTGGAAGCAGCCCCTTTTCCCACTGGAGGGTCCCCATCAATGACAGCACCAACCATGAGACTGCCTTCTCCAAGCTGGCAGGGGACTGTCTTGATTCCCCAGGACCTGAGCCAGTGGTCCTGAAGGAAGGCCACCAGAGAGTGACCATCAACATTGCTGGACTGAGGTTTGAAACCCAGCTCAGAACCCTCAAGCAGTTCCCAGAGACCCTGCTGGGAGACCGGGAGAAAAGGATGCAGTTCTTTGACTCCATGAGAAACGAGTATTTCTTTGACCGGAACCGGCCCAGTTTTGATGGAATCCTGTATTATTACCAATCTGGTGGGAAAATCCGGCGGCCTGCCAATGTCCCTATCGATGTCTTTGCTGATGAGATAGCCTTCTATGAGCTGGGTAGCGAGGCCATGGACCAGTTCCGGGAGGATGAAGGTTTCATCAAAGACCCTGAAACGCTGCTCCCCACCAATGACTTCCACAGGCAATTCTGGCTCCTCTTCGAATACCCTGAGAGCTCCAACGCTGCCCGTGGTGTGGCCATGGTGTCCGTGTTGGTCGTGATTATTTCCATCACCATCTTTTGTCTGGAGACACTACCAGAATTCCGGGAGGACATGGAGCTGAAGGTTATCAGAGACCCCAGCCTCAACACAAGCAAAACAGCCCTCTCCCAGACCATGTTCACGGACCCTTTCTTCGTGGTGGAGTCCACCTGCATTGTATGGTTCACCTTCGAGCTAGCGCTCAAACTCTCCGCCACTCCAAGGGCTGCAGATTCTGGCAGACGCTGAAGGCTTCCATGCGGGAATTGGGGCTGCTCATCTTCTTCCTCTTCATTGGCGTCATCCTCTTCTCCAGCGCCGTCTACTTTGCAGAGGTGGACGAGCCGGAATCCCATTTCTCTAGCATTCCTGATGGCTTCTGGTGGGCAGTGGTCACCATGACAACTGTTGGCTATGGTGACATGTGCCCAACCACCCCAGGAGGGAAAATTGTGGGCACTCTGTGTGCCATTGCAGGTGTCCTCACCATTGCCCTCCCTGTGCCCGTCATTGTCTCCAACTTCAACTACTTCTATCACCGGGAGACTGAGAATGAGGAAAAGCAAAACATCCCAGGAGAAATTGATAAAATCCTCAACAGTGTGGGCTCAAGAATGGGCAGCATCAATTCTCTTAATAAGAGCAATGGCGGCTGTTCCACGGAGAAGTCCAGGAAGTGATCAGCCCAAGACTTCTTGAGTCTCTTGGGTTTCTCTCCCTCTCTCTCTCTCTCTCTCTCTCTCTTCTCTCTCTCCTCTCTCTCTCTCTCTCTCCCTCGTCTCACTCTGTTTTTCCAAAGACTATAATTTATTCTTTATCACCAACAGGCTATCTGTGACTGCAAGCTGTTTCAATAAATCCATATTTCTGCTGTATTTCCTAAGCTGTTTCTTTTCAACCCATTGCAGGAAGATTTCCTCTCCTGTCCTGTGAAGGATTTAGATAGCGTCCCTGCATCCGAAGCACTGACATCAGCAGGAAAGTGCAGAACGCAGGCTTGCCCAGACCTATTGCAGCAGAATCTGCGTTTTAACAAGATTGCAGGATCTTGAGGTTTATTTGCACGTGAAAGACTAAGAAGTTCTGGGTTTGGTCTTCCATAGAGGAAGTACACTTAAAGGCCAGAGTTGCTGCAAGTGATGACTAAGAGCTGAGAGTTGTCTAATAATAACAGTACACCACATACTTATGTTCTGGGTTTGGTCTTCCATAGAGGAAGTACACTTAAAGGCCAGAGTTGCTGCAAGTGATGACTAAGAGCTGAGAGTTGTCTAATAATAACAGTACACCACATACTTATGTAGAATTGGTTAAGATTTTCAAAGCCACTCACTGACATTATCTCACTCCATCTCAACATAATCAGTACAACAGATTTGCAGGTGAACAAACCAGGGGTCAGCAGCTTAGCTAAGATAGGCCTGGTATGAATTCATCCTATCCCGCCTTACTCTCCCTAAATCCTAGACCCCCAGATATACTTTAATAAGGGTGTAAAGCAGCTGAGCCTTGAAGGAGTTACGGAGATAGAGGGCCTGGGCCTAGGGTGCACCTAAGACCTGGGCATGGGGGCTGCTGGTTCAGAGTCCCCACCCTACCAGGCAGTGGGGACAGCAAAATTGCACACTGACAGCCCTAGGGATAAAGCTGACTCATAGACACTTGCCCGAACTTTAAGCCAACCTCTAACTTTGGTGATTTCTCATTGTTAAAATCTTTTTGTTGTTGTTGTTTTGTCAGTACTGGGGTTTGAACTCAGGATCTCATGCGTGCTAGGCAGATGCTCTACCGCTTGAGCCATTCCACCAGCCCTCATTGTTAAAATCTTGAGAGAGGAAGAGAGAGAGAGAATTGATAAAGGCAGCAAAATACTAACACTTATTGAATGCAGGTAGTGGGGTTATATGTTCATATCCCTATTCTATTTTTATGAAGGTCTGAAACTTTTCATAGAAGAAAAATTTTAAGACATTTCTGACTTTCACCGTGAAATCAGAAGATTGGTCACCTGGGTGACCAGAGCGTGGAGGCTGCTCTTCGGATTACCACCTCTCTGCTCGCTGGAATCCCTGACCCACCTGCCAAACCCAGAGGGTTGGCATCTGGGTTGGTGACCGTTGCCCCGCTAGGTATGACAGATGCTCCCTGAGAGTTGCCTGCACCCTGTGGGAAGTTAGATTTGCATGGCTGAAGCAGGGGTGCATCTGGGACGACCCAGGCTGTGTAGTAGGAACTTTGATGTCCTGAATGATTTGCTGAAATTTGGTCTGTTGCTCTCCTCTCCAAACATCTGTTTCATAAGGAGGGGATTTCTGCGGGAAGAAGGAGGCCAGCAGCAACCTGCAGGTGTCCCTTTCCCACTCAGGGGACAGCTTCCTGCCCCACCCACATACTGGCTCTCTTCCTGGTGGGCAGGATGCCATTCTGAGAGTCTCTCAGAAGGCCCTGTTTCCTCATCTTCCCAAGCTCTCCAGAGGAACAACTGAGCCTTTAAAAGGCAGTCCCTCTGGACATGCCACCTGGACTTTCTCCCTCGTGCCATGACTCCATGCCCAGCCCAGGCACCCTGGAGCAGCCTCTGCCCACCCTTAGCAGGCCCCAAGAGAGCCAGAAGGGCAATGTAAGTCCTGCTAACTGATAGGAACACAGCCCTCCTCCCAGGAACAGGGTAGCCACCCTAGCCCCATCCCAGAAGCTTATGTCTCACTCTCTCCCTCCATATTGGGTCCTGTGGATGAAGAAGGGACGGAAACACCAAGGTGCCCTGCCCTTCTCAGCAGCTGACTCCAGTCTCCTAAAAACTGAAACACATGCCATCCACCCCATGGAGTGGAGTCCTCAAAGGCCTTTGAAGGGAGAGGAAGAAAGCCAACCTGGTCTCCCCAGGGAATCTGTGTTTGCTGCTCAGACACATGGGGAGAAGCTTTGCCCTCAAACGCAGAGATGGAAGGGACCAGAGGTGGCAGGGAGCTGGGAACAAGGAAAAAGAAGATCAGACAAACTTTTGTTATTGCATCTCAAGGGAAGCAGAGGGAAAAGGGCTGCCTTCAAAATGTCACCAGATAATGAATGCTATATCACTCCCATTGCTGAGGTGTCAGTCAGATGCCTGGGGAGAGAAGGCAGGGATCCTTCTTAGAAATGACTTCATGATCTCCTGCTCCTCTGAACCAGAGGGGCCATGGTTGAGTCCTCTCCTCCCTCCCTGTCCAACTTACACACTAGTATTCTATTATTAACAGGAATAATAAATATATAATAATATAACAGAAGTACTAAATACACCAGCTCCCAAGATTGTTGAGAGAATTAGATAGTATACCATGTTGAAATTCCTTAGCGAACTATAAAGGAAGCTGTACAAAGTAGGACAGAGATCTGACCCTTACGTGGCAGATCTGCAGTCAGTGACGATCTGTGAAAGGTGGGCAGAGATGAGGATAAAACTCACCTCAGAAGCCATGACTGTCACCCTTGAAGGTTACAACCCCAGCACAGCATCTGGTCAATAACAGACACTCAAATGAAGGAAGGAAAGGAGGAAGAGAAAGGAAGAGGGATGATCTAAGAAGAATAAGACATAGAAAGGCCAAATCAGAGGTCCCTCACTTCCCTACACCCCCTAAATTGACATTAATTGTGACCTATCTACCTGGACATTCTGAGTCAAAGTAACGTCAGGGCCATGCAGCCCCTGAATTCTCTTAATTCCTCTGAGATTTCAAGCAGGAGAGATACAGCTAACATGCCCTGTGTAACCCATGACTAGTGTTTCAAGGGGTGTGATGGTGCATTCCCTATTTCCTCAAACATTTGCCAGGTTCTTGCTGTAGCCAGATGCCCAAACTGTCTGTGAGGTTACAAAGTCAACCAAGGGGGCATCTCTGCCCTTGAGAAGTGGAATTGGGCTTTGGAGAAGGGCCTAAATTGCCACTTCCCTGTGGGTGGGCCTGAGGCCTTTTCCTAGCAACAAACCTTCCACTTCCTGATCTCTTTCTACAACCAATAGCAAGCCAGCCTCCTGCTCCCTGCCCATCAAACAGGGAAACTGGCCCTGTATGGGTCCATCCTCTGGCCATTCATAGGACAGGGCCCAAGCAGTGGGCTCACAGACTTTTGCTCATGGTCACACTGAACTGGAAATGACTCTGAAGTCCAGAAAGGAAGTTAGTCCAGTGTTAGACACAAATGCAAGTCAGGGCAGGAGTTCTGGTAAAGAGAGACAGAGAAGAAAGATGTCATATTGATGTCCTGGAAATAAGACACCAGTATGCATTGCATGTCCTGAGAGGTTCATCTGGGCAAGGGGACCTCACTGAAGGAGGTGGAGAAAGGGTAAAAACATAGGGTTCTCTTCTCTTCTCTTGAACAACAGAGGAACAGGCAAGGAAGTGGTTTGTGACCAGGGCATCAAACATGATAAGAATGGAAGGAGCTTTTTTAATGAAAAGAAAGAACAAAAACTGTGACCTTTACTTTGAAGCTCAATGGGAAAGGGGGGAAAATATGGAAAAGTCTAAAACTAAAGTTGATTTCTTGGAGAGAAAAGAGGTGTTCAGATGCCTAATGGTTTGCTGGCTGTAATCAACTCAACCACATCTTCCAAAGGTAAAATGCTCAAGTTTAGCTGATGTAATGACAGATGGCGTTTTTTTAAAGAAAACTTGGAGCATTTTATCTGCAAAGGAAACACAAGCAAGAAACACTATGTTGAATTTGAAAAGGCAGGATATGGAAGGAGCCAAAGATATAGCAGGGTGAAATCCAAAACCCCAGCTTTGACTGTAACAGTGTAGTTACAACTGTGTAACTATGGCCAAGTTACTCAAATTCTCTGAGATCCAATTCTGACAGGTGTGTCAGGGCTTATTATGCATATCTATTTGAGTCGTCAAGAAAATAGTTTGGATCTGGGATGTCCCTCAAAGGACAATATATTAAAAGCATGGTCCTCACATTGTTGCTATTGAATGGTGGTCAAAACTTTAAAAGGTAGGGCCCAGTGAGAGGTTCTAGGTCATTGGGGGAGTGCCTCAAAGAGGACTGTGAGATCCCAATCTGTTCCTGTCTCTTTTGTACCCACACCCAGCCATGAGGTGGTGAATGGGCCTCTTACATCATGGGCTCACTCCAAAAAGTCCCATGCTGCCACAGGTCCAAAAACAATGGGGTCAATCGGCCTTTGGTAACCTCCAAAGCCATGTGCCAAAAACAAACCTTTTCTCTTTATAAATTGATTTATGTCAGGTATTCTGTTACCAAAATGAAAAGCTGACTAACACAGATGCCAAACATCAAGCCCCTTTCCCATCAATGTGAGACCCTTAGGACAATCTCAAATTGTTCCTTGAAGCAAGAATGTCTCCCTCCAAGTCCCCCTGTGACACTCACTGTCATTCTCAGAATCCCCTCCCAGGACAGGACTAATCTCTGCAGTCATCAGTGCATCTTAGACAATGATCGCCTATCATTGCTATACATGAGCTTCATACTATCCCAGCATGCTCTTCAGGGAGGTTTGGGAGTTTGCCCTGCTTTACAGCTGGTCAACTAGAGTCTAAAGAGTTCGATGACTTTCCCAAGGCCTTCCCTGACACCACGGCTGCCTTCCACTGAGCAGGCTCCTGCAGAGGACCGCAGCCTGGTAGCTTAATCTACACGAGTATATTGTTTCCCATTC